GAATGTGTGTGGCACGGAGGCATGAGAGGCACCAAGGGGCTGTTTGCACGGCAGAGAGCAGCCACATCCCAGTGCCCCGTGGAAATGCTCTCCCTGCAGATCCAGGGCATGGTTAGTGGCAGAGAGGGCTCGTCAGTGAGAGCATCCGTATGTTTAGATCAAAGACCAGTTGAATAAGAAAAAATAAAAGGGGAGAAGGAGGATTAGAACAATAAGTACATTTAATTTTAGCGTGGATTCCTCATAGAGTCAACACGCCCAGGATTGCTTCACTTGCTTCTAGCTTTCCTAAATAAACACAGCAGAGCGGGGCTGAGAGGTGAAGTCGTGCAGACAGTTACAGAAAGCTCAATTTTCATGTTGTACGGGAATATTGAGGGCTGGTTTAGTGCCTGGGTCCTGGAGTTAAATTTCGGTACTGCACAGAAATACGGAGGGGGTGTTTCAGTGGGCAGCTGTTAGCAGGGAATTCGGTTCCTTTCTGCTCCTGGTTTCTGGAGAGACCCGGGCACCTGGCAGTGCCAAGAAGTGAGCCTGGATCCGCTGATGATCCCAAATTTTCTTCCCAGGCTGTCCCCAGCCAGGAAGGCGCCTGCTTGCTTTCAGCTTTACGAAGCCGGGAGGTATGGATTTGACTTACGGACCAATTTTGGATTTACTTTGTAAGAGCTCACCAGACATTAATAAAAGCTTAAAACAATTCAGACTGCGCCTGAAACCAGTCCTGACCATACCGCAGGCAAAATGAAGGTTGCAGCTCATCACTGTGGAGGCAATGGAGATGAAACCAGGAGAGCCGGAGATGAAAGGCGCTGGGACCAGGCTGTCTGCAGGCTTTAGGAGCGTAGCTGAGGAGCTGCAGAGTAACCTCAGGTTCGGAAATTCCAGCTGGGGACAGGGGGTCCTTGAAGTCTGCAGTTGCTGGGGTAGTGAGCACAAGTTTGGTGTCGGGATGTGAATCTGCATCTCATTTACAAAGGCCAAGAGTTGTGTTTTAGGTGTATTAAGGCCCTGAGCTGTTTCATCAATACTACCACAGAGCCAAAAACTACAGAGGTTTGCTTTTCTCTCTCACGAGCGCTCGTGCAAATCAGAACTAAGCCCAGTCGGAGGAGAGGCAGAAGGAGAAAGTGCGTGGGGAGTTAGGTCCCAGCAATATGAGCCTCCCCGCTGTGTCTCAGCGAGGGCTCGGCGTTAACCTGCGCCCTGCCCTGCTGCCACGGGCACTGCGACTCGGCTTGAGGACACATTCACTGAGCTGAAATGTAATATTACCATTGCACCCCAGTTTTTAAGGCCCCAAACAACGTTTCAGAGCACAAGCTGCAGTGATGTTGAGTTCAAAGGCTGCGAGCCAGCGCCGCAGAGCTGCGGCCAGGCTGAGCCCTGCAGGATGCGGCCGTGCCCCCAGGGCTCCTGGGCACCCCGGGGAGCTCCAGGGAGTAGGAAATGCTTTTTTTTGCTCTTGGAGGCTGGTGTTTTAGGGGTGGCTGTGCTCTAATTGGCTTACTGAAGCATGCAGGGCCTTCCCTGTGAGCGGATGGATTAGGAGGACTCTGCCGTGTTGGAGGCTGGCACGTTAATGTCAGGATTCATAAATAAAAGGGATTTGGACTTAAAGATGATAAGATTAATAAGAAAGAGCAACAGCTTAACGCTGTTAATTAGCAATGCTTATACCTCGGAGTCACTCAGACTGCTGCTGCATTTGTTTCCCAAAACATGAAGCCTTTTAATTCTCCCCAAAACGAGGAGCAAGTCACACAAAGCAGCGTGCGGCTCGGTGCCGCTGGGACCTGCAGCCACGTGCCAGCCCTCCCGCTGGCAGAAATCACCGGAGCTGCTGCGTGTTGTGACATTTCTGTGACAGGAGCTGGTTCGGCCCCTCCTTTCCAGGTATTTCTGTTCCCAAATTACCATGTCCCCAGGGCGCTCTGCCCCTTGGTGGCACCTGGCCCGCTGCCGTAGCGTTTTCTGAGCATAACCCTGACCGTGTGCCCCTGTGTGTCCTGCCTGTGCTTCTGCAGGTGCTCTCCTTGTACGGGGTTCCCTTTTTTCTTATAATGCACTTGTTGGTCCTGAGAGATGCAAACAAACCAGCCAGCCTTGGGCTGCACGCCCGGGTGATGCATCCGAAGGGGAGCCACAAGTTTTGTGCCCTGAGCAGGGTCCCAGTGCCCCAACCCACAAGCTGCGCCATTCTCCCAGTAAATTCAGGCTTTTTGGCACCTCAAAACCTAGTTTTGATGCCCTTTTCTGCTTTTCTTGGGGCAAGTGAGGGTTACAAAGGTGTTTTAGGGTGGCCTTAAAATGGGAAGTTCTGTTCCCTGCGTTTTGGGGCTGTGCTCGCTCTTTGGGGAAAGGCTTGGGACTGGGTGGCACTGGTGGTTCTTCAGACACCTGTGCTGGGTCACTTAACTCAGATTCAGATAAAATCATCAGGAAATGGTCAAAGCAAGGCAGGCGTGTGCGAAGCGTGTCTGTGTGGATCGAGGCCGGCTCTGGACAAGCCCGGGTGCGCAGCGCGGTGCCGAAGCGTCTGGCACGGGCCTCGGAGCCGCTGCTGGGGGGGCCGAGTGGGACAGAGCCGAGTTTTGTTTAATAGGTTCAAAATATACATTTCCTTGATGCGCTGCTGGTTTTATTTTTAACTCCGAAGCAATTTAATATTTTGTAGGCCTGCTAGTATTTCCCCCGGTTTTCCATCTGCTACTGCGATTAATTCAAGGCCGAGCTTTACAATGCCAGTCTGGAGCAAGCGAAATGGAAACCTTACCTATACGACTTGGCACGCGGCAGCAGACATGAATAACTTTGGAATTTGCGGGGAAAAAGAGAAGTTATGTGTGCGAGGAGCCAAAACAGGGCTGGAAGCCGGCCCCTGCAGACGGCAGCGCGGCGTTGGGGTCTGGCCGAGTTATGGGGGGAGGCGGTGGAGGTGCTGGTGGAGGAATGGGACGGGTTGTGTGAGCAGTAGCCTTTAAAACTGCAACGAGGGTAAGGATGGGAAGAGGAATTGCAGGCCCTAGACCTGTAGGTAGCCAAAAAGGACCTGGAGGTGGCGAGGAGATGTCTGAGTCACCTCCCGAAAAGAGAGCTGGAGGAGCTGCGGGCACAGGTCACGCTCTGTGTATGGGCAGGGATTGAGCCCGGCTGCACGCACGGGATGCGGAATAATTCTGCCTGCCAGACCAGGGCCATCTAACGTACATGGCAGTAATTGTTGGAAAAAACGAGAGGGTTGTGAATGGCAGCAACTGGCGAAATAACAGGAGGTGGTTGTGTGCAGCACAACGGTGCGGGGCGAAGGAGGTCACGTTTCGGGATGAGATCAGATTGAAGTCATTTCGAAATGAGCTCACACCAACCTGCTGCCTAGGTCTCGTTCTCCCTGTTTGGGGCTCTCATCCACGCGGAGCTCTTGCCACGGCTGGGTTCTGCGGAGGTTTCCAGGCTGGTTTCGTGTCCGAGTGCCAGCTTGGTTTGGGGAGCTGGTTAGGGACAACCAGGTCGCAGTTTGGCAAGGCGAGCACTGCAGGCAAACAGCAAAGCTCCTCCTGCAGCTGAGGTGTAGTGGAGCTCTGAAATGTGTTTGCATCCTCATGGGGAAGGAATGGCACTCGAAAAAGCCCCAGGAAAAATACCGAGAAGTGCATTAAAATGATAAGAAGAGCTGATAAGGTGTATGCTAAGAGGCTGAGAGAGGAATCGAGGGCAGATAGGATCGCAGCCTATAAATGCTGTCAACATGACAGCATGGATGAGCAAAAAGAAGAGTATTTGTTATCTGATAGAAAAGAGGCTTTGGGAAGAGCAGCTGCAGGTGACGCTCATCCGCTGGGGTGGAGGTAGAGGAGGTCCTGTGGGAGAGCAGCAGGCGCATCTGCGAGATGCAGGAGGCCAGATGAGCTGGAGACCTGTTCTCCTTGCCTTCCTCGGGGATCCTGCAGAGACCGCGAGGTCAGAGGGCGGCCTCGGGTGTCAGAGCATTCCCGGCAGGAAGAGGCGTTTGCAGCCACACCAAAGATTTCAAAAGAAATCTGCGCTGGGGCCGGGAGTGCCTGTGCTCCACGCAGCACGGCCCTGTCCTGCTGGGGCTGTCTGCGGCTGTCCCTGGCCAAGCGGGACGTGGGCATGGAGACAAAACCAACCCAGTGCATTTCTGATAAAGTGCTTCAGAAATACCGATCCCTGCTGCATGACCACTCGACATGCGCGTTGAAATTCCTCGGTCACCACTCCGTGCCGTGCCCGGGACTTCCCCTGTGCCACTCGTGGCCGCGTGGGTGTTTCCAAGGACCCCCAGGACAGGCCGGGTTTGGCAAAGCTGTGAACCTCCTGCACGGGCTGTGAAGGTGCATCCTGATACAGCAGGGTCTTGGTACCTAACCATGGGTTTATTGAGTACTGCTTCACTGCGGGAGTGTTTATGGAGCAGCCTGTGGTGCTGTGGGTTCCCATCACCTTTCCCAAACCAACCAGGGGAGCACAGCGCCTGTCAGTGCTGCAGGGCCTGGCACCCCGCTCTGCTCCCAGCAGGGAGCCAGGCTCTGCAACCCAGTGCTTGCGTCCTGGGGTTTAATTCGGGTGACTCCGTGGCCAGACGAGCGCGCCGAGGAGAATGTGAGCTGCAGACGGAGAGGTGCTTCGTGGCCCTCGTGTTCAGGCACTTGGCCTTCCTGCGCTGCCCTCGGCTGATAGGGAGGCTCTCCAGACGCCGTGTGTGCAGAGCTCTCCAAACGGCGCGGCCGTGCCCTCCTGCTTCCCAGCGCATCCCCGCGGCAGCAGAGGCGTCGCTGGCCCCGCCGTGTGACTCACTGCTGCTTTTGGGGCCAAAGTCGGTGTTGAGAGGGAATGTTTCTGAATAACTCTGTCACCGGGGATTCCCATAAAACAATTAGAGCAACCGCAGCCATGTTGTCTTGGTTTGCCCGTGTCTGACTCCTCCTGCTCCCGAGCCCGCTGTGGTCCCTCACGTTGGTTTCTTTCTCTCCCTGCAGAATGCGATGAACTTGCCGCCCGACAAAGCCCGGCTGCTGCGGCAGTACGACAACGAGAAGAAGTGGGAGCTCATCTGCGACCAGGTAAGGGCGGCCACGAGGGCTTGCAGCAGACACCCTGTTGAGAGCATGCACTGGTGTTTGGGCAGCGCGCTCCCAGGGCTTAAAACGGGAGGTCGCAGAGGATTTGAATGGTTTCAAGCACTCATTTGTTTGGCCTCACGCTCCTTTGTTGGGAACAGCTCACGGAAGCCTTGTGCTGTGAACGTTGCTTAGTTTGCAAGGCAAAAGCTCGAGCAGACCAACCCTTCATCCCCTCCTGGTGAGTGCTCAGAGCTGGGTCTGTCCCGACCTGTGTAATGCTGAGGAATGGTCTGTACCCAGTGAGCCTCTGGCTTTCCATGTCACGAGCCATTGTCACAGCTGGCGGTCACTGTCACCTTCAGCACAACCTCAGTGGTGATGGTGAACTTCCCTTCACCTGCACAGCACCCTCGGATTCAGCAGCACCATGTGCTGAGGTGTCCTTGGTGTCCGTGGAGTGCAGAGCTGGCAGTGCTGTGCAGCAGTGAACAGGTTGGCTCTGCCACGGCAAGGAACAGAAGCTGTGTTATTTAGAGCAAGGGAAGCATGCAGAAGGGAGGGTGTGCAGTTGTGAGCCAACAGCAAAATCGGGTCCTGCCATAAACTCCAGAAGTAATGGCTAATGAAAATAATTGATCCCGGACCGACGGAGGGGGATGTTTCCTTGGAAAGTAAACGCAGAGGTACCAGGATGAGAGTTTGGCAGAAGGTGCAGTCACGCTGTGAGGTCAGGAACATCATAACAAATAGATTCGTGAGACATTTCCTTTTCATCCATCTCAGCGGCGGAGCCTCTGATGAGATCCAATTACCCCGCAGGAAAGCTGAGTAAAGAATTGCTCGCTTTTTCCACGAGTTTGCTCTGCAGAAAACCTAACGCACCGAGCTATTTTAAAGTTTCGCTTCAGCCAGATGCCGAACAAATTGCTTAATCTGCTGCGAGCGATTTGCTTCTCCCTGGCTGCGTGCTTGGAGCGTGCCCATCCAGCGCGGGGACGTGCGGGCTGGGCAGGGGCAGGGGCAGGGGCAGGCAGCGGCGCTGAGATCACAGCCCTGCTGTGCACACCCACCCTCCTCAGCACAGCTGCTGCTGATTCACCGAGCTCTGCAGCAGGACAGGAGGGGCGGGTGGGTGGAAACGCAGCAAAAGGAGTTTGCAGCACCTGCAGTGCTCCCCAGGGGCACGGGGATCCGCTCCCCGCTGCTCCGAGAAGGGGACGCAGCACGAGGCAGGAGCCTCGCTGGGACTGGACATCACACCTTTATTTTGGTTGCTGGAGGACAGAGGCTGTCAGGGAATATAGCAGCTTGCAGGCTGCTCTCTTACCTTCCTGTGCTGGCGTTCAGCTTGTCGGGAAGGGAAAAGAACCCAAAGTTGCTGTGAAGGGGCAGTTTTCAGTGCTCTGTAAGGCCCTGGGTGTTCGACTCTGAAACATTTTGAGACTGCTAAGGGAGAGAATTCGGCCCAGAAAAGTAACTCTTACTTTAAAAAAAAAGTGAGATTAAAAACCAGGGGAGCTACTGGTCTCATGCTTAATAGGAATAATAATAATAATTATTATTATTATTATTTCAAGTCTGCTTTGGTTAGGTTTCTGCCCTTTCTGGTGAGTCACTGCAAGGGTTGCTGGGCTGGTTGTGGGGACTCATCCCGGGTGGTATTCTCTGTTCCTTTGTCTATAAAACTTGGAAGTCATTTACGCTTTGCTGTGGCTTTCCTGGAGCTCGCTGCCCTGCCTCTCTGGCTTGACCAAGGAATAAATTTGAGGAGGAGGAGAACAAAACCAGTATTCCTACTGCTGCTCACACGTCTGCATGATCCTGACAGTGTGTCAGCGAGGTGGGGTAGGCAGGGAGGCGACCTCGGTCCCAGGGGGAGCTAAAAATCCAAGCAGGACGGGTAAAAGCTCGGGGAGGGCGCATGGGGAGGTGGCAGAAGCACACTTGGTGGCTGTGGGCTGGCAAGGAGTGAGACCTGGAGAGAAAACCCCGAGGAGCCTCGTTGGAGAGCTCCAGCCCTCGCCCTCCTACCTGCAGCATCCCCGGAGGGGCCGAGCCGGGGGTCGTTAGGGAAGGACAATTAATTAATTCCCTGCAGCGGGGTGCTGGTTCTCCAGCCTGGAGGCCCCAGTGACAGATCTTGGGGGAGAGGAGCAGTGCTGGGATGGATCCGAGCAAGGATGACATAGCCAGAGGTGATGAGCCACCCCCTTGGTTTGCTGCCTTCACGGAGCTCTGCCTGGTGGTACCCCGGGCGTTTCGGTCCCACAGCGTGTGGTGAAGTGTTAGAGGGGACAGGGATGCTGAGGGCGAGGTTGGGAGCATCGTAGGAAGTTCTTCATTGCCCTCTAATGGCAAACCATGGCGGGGCAGAGACCGGGGCCTCCCTTGGAGGAGCTGGGGGCGTGTGGGGAGGGAATGGAGGGACCCAAGGTGGACACGGTGTGAGTGACACCCCAAATGCCTTCACCGGGGGCATAGGAAACCCTTGTTCTGTGTACCAGTGAATCTCTCGCCCCGCTTGTTTTTTTGTTTAAAGAACCCAAAGTGGGTAAAATACGGCACCCTGCCTGCTTACCTGGGGGATGTGAATGCTAAGAATGAAAGGAGCTAGCGAGGGCAGGGCGGTGATCACAGCGTAACTCACTAATGCAGGAAATGTCCTGAACGGGTTTGGAAGGAGAAGACCTCTGGAAAAGCCACAGCTTCCTGGTTTCGGGATAAATACGTTTCCCAGATCTGGGTGAGCAAGGGATGTATCGAGTTCTCCTTAGCATCGCATCGAAGGGGAAGCGCAGAAATCCAGCAGTTCCTCTTGGCTGCTGCAATCAAGCCCTCCACCCCTCCCTTTTATTTTTTTTTTTTTATCCATCAGGAAAAGAAAGTGCTAATGCTGGAGGCTGCTGGTGAAGGAAGCACAGGAGCAGCGTTGTGCTGCCCCAGCTGAAGCCTTTCCCCGAATTCCCCTCCTTTATTGCTCCGAGGGGACGCGCTGGGGCGAGCTCATCGCGGCGTCTGGCAGCGCTCCTCAGCAAGTTTTGGGGGAAGAAAGGGCCCTTTATTCTTGCAGGATGGATTTACATGCTAGGTGGCTGACGAAGGCGGGGTGGGGTTATTGTTGGTCCGTGCCTTTCTCGTTTCGGGGCTGTAGGTAGGGTTGGTGCTCCCGAGTCACACAGTGCAGATAAAAAAAGGTGTTTTGTTGGGGTTTGATAACTTTTGATAACTAACCCGGTAGTGTCCCAGCCCTGGTGTCACCCACTGGCTTGTTCTGTGTGCTCAGTGAAATTTGGAAAGATGAATTTAGATTTTAAACTTTTAATGTGTGTGGTAAAAACCCCTTACCTCCCGGTTCAGGTAGCGTGAAACTGCTGCCCGTATGCATTTTTATTTGGAAAGCAGATTTGGCCGATGAGCAATTACGGACTGCCAGAAGAGGAGAGGAGGAGAAGACAGCAAAAAGCACCAGGTTTTAGCTCGTTATTTATGGTCCTTAAGGAAAGTGCATTAGGCACGGACAGCAGTGCCTCGGTGGTAGCGGGGCGTGTGTTTGCCTCGCCGATGAAGTAGATGCTCACAGGGCGACACTGAAGGCTGGTCCCTCGTGACCTTCCAAGGCAGAAAAAGCACTTCAAGGGCCAAATCTGCCCTGGCAGGTGCAAACAGTGGCGTTTGGACTTGGTATCTCCAGAGCTAATACAAAACCGTGGTGGGGGAAAGAGAAGTGGTGCTGGTCGCCGAGGTTCGGATCCCTCCGGTAACGCTCCTGCCCTGCCATGGGCCATGCTCTCATTTACAGCAAAGTGCCGTTTCTGTCCATCTGCCAGAGCAAAGAACTTTTAAAATGAGTTAATGGATGGAATTACTTCTAAATAACTTGTATTCCTGCCCACTGTAAAGCCACGGTTGACGCTGTCCCATGAGGGCTGTAAGCGTAAACGCAAAGCTGCCCCAAGTGCTCTGCACCGAGTGCGTGAATTAAGCCAGCAGTTCAGGTACTCTGAGTATTGACAGCTTAATCTTTGACATGATTTACTTGATGTACTTTTATTTTCTTCTGTGTACATCTGCCAACGTTGGTGGGTGTTCCTGCTTTCCCCCTTCCCCTCCATCGTGTCTGTTTTCTAAGTGCAGGGGGGCACGAAGGGCACTGAGCGGTGCGAGGTGGGGGACACGGCACGGGGTGGCACGGGGGTGACAGGGGTCCTGGGCTTCCCTTTGGCCAGGGAGCTGCCCGCCAAGAGCTCTTTGCAGAGCTGCTTTGAGATAAAAAGGAAATGCCAAATCCCAGGACTCGCAGTTTGCCCCGTACATCTGTGTGAAGGTGCGCGGAAGAAAAATTGTTAAAAAAGAGGAGAGAAATGTCTGCTTCTGTCTTTCAGAGCTGTAGCCCAGGGCTGGGGGACCACTGGGTAGATTTATTGGTCCATTTTTTCTTTCTGACCATGATATATTACTTTTTTTTTTACAGCAAGCAGCAAGATAATAACAGGAACAAGTTTTGGTGTTCAGACAGTGCGTCCTGGTCACTGGGCAGCAGCGCGCTCTTCGTTATGAAATAACTTCCAGATAATGTAGTCAAAATTGCATCCTGACCGAATAAGTGGGGGTTTCAAATATCAGTTATAAAATGCGAAGCTGTAACATCAGGAGGAAATTGTTATGAGATCTTTCCTCAAGGGAGAGGGCAGAATAGTTTAAAATTCTTCCAAGCTACAAATAGTATCAGGACTTGGGGTAATGCTCTTAGCAGGTCTGGACGCAGCGCGCTCCTTGCAGCTTGTGCTTCACAGCAGCTTTACAGAATAAATGTCAGCCTGGCCGGGCAAAAGCAAGCAGAGACCAAGAGGGACTCGAAATACAGATGGTTTGAAGGTTTTTTATATTATGAAAGGTTTTCAAAGTGGTCGGTACGCCCTGGAGAGGAGTGCGGGTGACAGCACGCGGCGTGCCAGCCTGGCCCAGCTGCGATGCCCCTCTCTGCTCTTAGGGAATCTGATGGGTGAGTTGTGGGAAGGTGGATGGAATAAAATCAACTGCAGCTGAGCAGTTCTTGTGCCTGCAGGAGGTACATGTGCTCGATTGTACCCACTCATCATGGCACAGGCACAAGTAGAGTTAAACAGTACCTGTCAAAATACCACTTGTCTACTGCTAACGTACTGCTCTTGCATTTATTTTTCCAAAATCCAAATAACAAAATAAAGCTTCTTCTGTGAATGGACCACGCACTGTGTTTTTGGGCTCATTCCAAACGACAGAAAGGTGCCTCAGCTCTTGTGGTGACGGCTCTCAGTCCGACATGGACACACGCTCACTCCTCCAGCCCCTCTCTTTCCTCGCAGTGCTCTGGCTGCCAGAAGCCCTTTGTTTGCAGATGTGTTTGTTTATACGTGTAACCAAAACCATCGAATGTGCAGGACAGGTTTTTACGCCTCCTATATAAATATCAAATTTCAGAAAATCAAGACGCATGTAAATACCTGGTATTTGCATGCACATTGTATATGCGTAGGTTAAGTATTTATGCATATAGGGCATGCACATACAAATTCATCTTATACATACGTCCTGTTTAAATATGTATGTGTGTGCATGCATTTCACGCGTATAAGAAGTAAATACAGCAATGTTATCAAATGGCTGATGTTTGTTCTTACGTCCTTTGCAGGAAAGATTTCAAGTGAAGAACCCTCCGCACACGTACATCCAGAAGTTGAAGGGCTATCTGGACCCGGCAGTGACCAGGAAGGTGAGGAGCGTCCTGTTTCCTCTCATCCTCTCGTCCTTGTTCCTCCACGAGGATGGTCCTGGGGTCCCAGTTCCTTCCTGCCTTTGTGTGGAGGCTCTGTGAGAGGAGCTGAGAAAAGTCTTGGAGATGTAACAAAACGCAGAGACAAACAAAGAGAAATTGGAAAGGCGCTGCGGTTTGTGCAGCTTGGAAAGAGGAGCAGATGTTGCAAAGAAAGGGACGATCTGACACATGAAACAAATTGTTTTAATAACTTTAGCTTCAATAAATAGCCTGACAAATTGTCACTGAGCTACGCTCTAGGTCTGCCTTTCCTCGTGGGCAGTGCTGGTGGCAGGTAAACTGCAGCTCGGAGCTGTTCTCGGCATTCACCTGGAGGGATGGGGTTCAGCTGGCACGAGAGAGCCTCACGCATCCTTCTGCCTAATATTCATCCAGAATTGTCTGCTAATGACTCACAAAAGACTCGGGCACTCCACCTGGCCTTTCAAAGATGCCTTTGTTGGGGTGGACACCAACCAACCCTCTGGAGGAGTGAGATGTGTAGGGCTGGGCACATCATCACGGGAACGTGGGCATCCCCGAGCGAGGCTTCTGCACCAGCAGGGACCTGTGCCTGGTGCTGACAGTTCTGCACCACCCTCATGGGCTTAGCAATAGCTGCCAGGGGTCTTAGAAGTGTAAATCTACATCCTGTTCAGAGGACGGTCACTCAACCTTTGGTATTTAAGCACTGTGGACATCAGCTCATATCCTGTGCCGATAGTTCCAATAGCCCCAAAAACCCAGCACGCAGCAGTTCCTGCCATTGACTGCTCCTCTTGTCCTCCACAGTCGCTGCTTTGTGCTGCCCTGCAATTAGCCGAGCTGGGTGCCCTGCAGTAAAACACAGATCCTGACAAATGCTGCGAGCCAGGGCCAGCTCGGGGGGCGGCCGGGACGCAGCGCTGCTCCTGCAGACACAGCGCCGAGCCCTCCCTGCCCTAATGCCTCCTGACAGGGCTGCTCTTGTCGGGGGCTGCGGCAAGGAATAGGAAGCCATTTAGGAGGAAACCTTTAAAATTTGCCCGTAGCTGATTGTAGGTTTTTGTCGTTTGTTTTATTTATTTATTTAAAAAAAAAGCTGAACGGGGGTCTTTGTGTTTTTCTCCTGCAGGGTTTTGAAATTCGTTTTGTGTGTTTGGCTTCGCTCTGCGGTTAGTCCCTGGGCACACATTGAAGCCTTTCTTACCCTAATACTACTATAGGAGTCCCATGACAAATGACAAAACCGAAGGAGCCTAAAAATAGCCCCATTGAGTTCCTCTCTTTTGTCGCATTATTCTGCATCACCAGCAGCCTTCCCTCAGCCTGGGCTGCGTGTCGGAAAGATTTACAAACGGGCTCCTGGACGGATGCTGGATGCTGTGGGCAGGGCTGGGGTAACCGGAGCTGTGCCCGTGATCGGGGCTGGCTCAGGGTTTTTGCTGCTAAATCCCTGCATGGCCAAGGGCTGGTGGCTCCCAGCGCTGCTGTGAGCCGTGCACTTGGGCTGGGAGCTGGGACTGTGATGGGTTTCTCATCCGAGCTGAACTTTGAAACAGGAAAATTAAAAGTGTGGTGATCCTGTGCTTGCCCTGGCCCCTCCAGCAGTGACTCAGCTCGCGGTGCTCCCCGGGGGCCAGGCAGCCCCAGATGTTGCTGCGGGCTTGTGGTGGAGCACTGAGAACAAGGTTCCTCTCCTGCAGTGGCCTCGCTGTGTCCTGGACGCTGCCAAACCTTCCCAGACTCATCCAGCTCTGCCTGACTCGATTTGGGTGTGCACTTCGAGGTCTCCTGCCATTGCCAGAGCCTGCTCCGAGCCCTGGGGTGCCGTGGGGCTCTTCCTGCATCACGGGGAGGTTTTGCCAGGCAGTCCCTTCTCCTCCTGCACGGGGATGACACAAAACATCATCTTCTTCGTACTGCCCAGCATTTCGCTTCTGCCATTTCATGGCCTCTTCCCAGCTTTTAACTTTGCAGATACAATTTTGCATGCATGAAGTACCAAAACCTGCAGATAGTAGCACATGTGTAGCTCATTACTGCCTCGCACCCACAGATTTGGTAATTAGACAGAAATTACGGCAGCGTTTTGGTGTGGGTGTAAGGTCACAAAAGTGAGATTAAAACATATGGCTGGGAGTGACGTCCAAGCACCGTAGATCTCAGTGGAGAGGTTGTTGCTAAAACAAAGCTTGTATTGTAAAGAAATGTGTATTTATCCACAGGCTTTTCATTTTCTTAATCCTGGAAGCTCAAAATATACACGGGAACAGAAGTTATTTTTCTGTTTGTTTTTGTTGACTGCCTGCCTGTTGTTGTTGCGTTCCTCGGGATTTAAGGGAGGTTCTCAGTTTGCCTGAATGTTTTATGTGCTCAATCTGTGCTGTAGGAGATGCTGGCATTTTTAATAGCATCACAGAAGTCTAAGTGCTGTTCTTGCCTTCTCACTCCATTACAGAAATTCAGAAGACGAGTCCAAGAGTCTACTCAAGTACTCCGAGAACTGGAAATTTCTTTGAGAACAAATCACATTGGGTGAGGATTTTTGATGACCTCTGGCCTTACTAGATTTGCACCTACTGATGGATGTCTTTCAGAAAACATCTCTGCATGCTAGGCAGTGGTACCACTTATATTGGTTGTTAAATCCTGAAGGGCTCAGGTAAGGGGTAGCTGGGTGTCTCAGGAGAAAATTCAGCCTTAATCCTTTCATGATAGGGTTAATCCACGTCTCTGTGAAGGCCGTCAAGAGATTGCTGCTCACCCGAAGTAAGTCAGGGCAAAAGTGAGAATAATTGGGTCTAGAATAGTACTAGCACTGCAGCTATAAAAATCTGTATATTAAAACATGCTGGTTTATAGCTGAACATGATACAGTTCACGAAGCCTGGCTGTAAGTAACGTTGCCAGCATTTTGCTTTCACAAAGCAGAAAATTCTTCTCAAATAGCACAAGTAAGAGCATGGCCAGGACTCCAGGTTTTTATTGAACGGGCCGTCTCAGTGCGCATTTCTGCCCGTTTCATCTGTCTGCTCGAGGCCTCGGCACAGGAAGCCTCAGTGTGTCGACCAGAAAGGCTTTGCGTAATTGTCAGACTGAAATTCACGGCAAGAGGTCAGCGCTTTTTAAAAAGGAGAAGGCCAAAATGACTGCTAAACGTGCACCTGGGCTGTCAGAGCCGGGCCGTGCTGCTATTACTCTTCCACATGTGTGCTGTCCGTATGCACCTGAAAGACTGCCAGAGGCTGGGGTGTGGAAAATAAACACGAGAAGTGCTGGAGGACAAACCAGAGGACAGACGTGGTCCCTGCTTGGGAACCATGGAGCACGGAGGAGGAGTTGGGCAGCTGAGCTCTGCAGGACATCCGTGGCCCTTGGTATTTATTAGGCCAAACGTCTAGCTGCTGGGTGTGCATTGGAGAGGGGGTTTTATGGTTTTGAGGTGCAGTGTTTTTCTTGTCCAAGCACTGCAAAAAGGCTCGTTTCAGTACATTTGTAAAGTCCTCTAAATAAAAGACTTCTGTTTTTTCAAAGTCCTCTTTTCCTCAGTGAGAAAGAAGAGCTTTAACTCAGCAGTCCCATCTTTGCTGCAGTGGCTGTGTCTTCAGTTTCTGTGAAAAGAATTCCGGTAACTGCACAAAACCAGTGACATGCTCTGACGTCTCATGATTTTTCCAACAGATGGGTCAGGGAGTTCTTGAATGAGGAAAACAAAGGCCTGGATGTCCTGGTGGAGTACTTGTCGTTCGCACAGTACGCGGTCACGTAAGTAAGACTTGCCTCCTACTCGCTGGGCTTGCGGGGCTAAGCAAAACCCCCAGGAGAGGGAAATGCTGATGGGATGCTCAATGAGATGCTCGATGAGATGCTCGGCTTCTCCTGTAGCAGGGCTGCCATGCTCGGTGCCAGAGCTTGGCCCAGTACCGTGTACCTGCTGCAGAGCAGGAGCAGAGAAAATGGTAACGCTAGTCCTAAACTATTGAATTATAGCATCCTATAGAGGAAAAAAAACTCTTTAACCTTTGTGATTATTTATCTTTAAGGCTTTACTGGTGTTTTTTAGCCTTGGTGGCCTCTGACTGTCGTAGGGTACAGTGCAAAAGCGATTCAAGGAATGTATGGAAAGATGCAGACTTCCTTAGAAATAGGTTTGTGATTAGTGCCCAACCCCAAGGATTGTAATACTGCCTGCCTTGTTCAAAGCACCATCCCCACAGTACCACTACTCACACAGCTCCTGGCAGGCAAAGGCACCTTTGTTTTGTGTGCCCACAGGCTTTCCATTCACTGTATTGTAGCATTAGATTTTTATGTAAAATTGTATGAAACTAAGTGGTGGGTTACAGATACCATTGTAGCTGGGAGCTCAAGCTGAGTGGAGCTGATGTTTTATTTTTAAAAAAGATGCCGTCAGACGTATATATTGCCATCGCACAGAGCAGGACTTTTGGTGGAGTTGCAGTTGAATCAATGAAACAAAATTATATGTTTGAAAATGTTACTAACACTGGAAAAAACTGTGCGCAGCAAAAAGATGTTCTTGTATAAAGACTTTGTTCCTAAAATTATACAAATGTACGCAAGTTAGCCTGCTGGGTTTTTTCCCTCTCTAACGTGGTGAACATGAGTAATAACCTCAAAAACTGCAAGGGGAACAAGCAATTTTTGCTTGAAAGAGCAGTACGATGGGCAGTGAATCAGAAATCAGAGAAAATCTGTAATGATTATGGTAATGTATCGCATATGCGAGCAGATCAGCGAGGGCCAGCAAGGCAGTGTAAATGCTCAGGCACATACTGATGGAGGAAACTGAATTAGTACTTGCACAGCGTATTGATTTATTGCAATAAAATGGGGACAGCTTGAAGTATTCTCCTTCTTTCCTTCAAGGCATTGCTGCTCATCTGCAAAGTGGCCGATGTTGTATTTATTTGACATGGGAGTAGAATAATACGTAGCTGTTTGATCCCTCTCAAACCGAGCGCTCGTGTGGTGAGCTTCTCCCTTTGTCGAGGTCCAGATTTGCAGCAGAATGTGTGGAAGCTCGCTCTGAATTGCAGCTGAAGGGAAATTAGTTTGCGGTGCTTTCTTCCTTTCTTGTTGGAATCTTCTGGGACCTGCTAAGTCTGCAGATGTTTAACAGGAAGGGAAGCGCTCTGTGCATCTTTGCTGTCTAACCCAGCTTTGGAATTTCTATTTCCTTGCAGCTTTGACTTTGAGAGTTTGGAGAACAACGTGGAAAACTCCATGGACAAGTCCAAACCTTGGAGCCGATCTATTGAGGACCTGCACCGAGGCAGCAATTTACCCTCGCCAGTTGGCAACAGCATCTCCCGCTCGGGCAGGCACTCCACGTTACGGTAAGGCCCCGAAGCAGGCAGCAGGTGACCTACAAACAGCGAGTGCCCGAGTGAGAAGAGTCAGCATGGTTTTCCAATTAGGCTGTTTTTCATCTTCACGTGTCGTTGTGCTGTCGGTTTTGAGGTGGAAAGAAGTGCTAAGCCAGTACCACGGGGCAGCATCGCACAGCGATTGAGGAAATGAAACGAATCAGGCTGCCTCCCTTTCCAGTGGCAGAATGATCTAAGGGTGCGTGCTATGTTTCCGTCAGGTACAGTGTGACTTGCACAGAGGAAGCAATCACTCTTCTCCAAAGAGTACCTCAGGATTTCCATGGGCCCAGCCAGGCTGGAGCTCTGATCTGGTGTCTCATCCAAAAAGGTCTCTTCCAGCAGCACAGCCCGTCCGTGCTGCCACGAACAAGATTTATGTTTTAAAGGCCACTTCCATGCTTCAAACCTGATGTTAATTTGAGCACTGCCCCGGGCTTTACTATGAAGTCTCTCTTTCCAAATACCATTTGTGTTTTTTTTTAGTTTGTGGAAAAGGCAGGATCCCTTCCCAAGACTGAACGTCAGTCAGCTCCGTTACAGGACCTTGCATTCCTACGATCCTTCACTATTACAAGGCATGCTGAGAGCATCTTCAGGCTGGCAGGACAGTACTCAGCAGTACTCAGGGACACGGCTCGGAGTGCTGAGGGGGATTGACTCTGTGCACGTTTTGATCTTTGGGGCTTTTGTAGAGCTTTGCTGTGAGCATAAAGGAGTCCTACAGAGCTGGAAGCAGTGGGGACCTGCAGATTTTTTCTGTGTCTTCCCGTCGAGGTTCAGTTCTGGTTTGTCACTCAATGCTCACGTTGGCTTTTTAGTTCCTGTTCAGTGGCTGCCATCCTCCTACAGCCTGAGTGGTGGCGGGTGCGAGATCTGGAATGTATCAAAGACATCAGGGAGAAAGTGGGGAGGAGGAGGCAGACACACAGCTCTGGCAAAGAGATACAGGCTGTGGAGTGCAGCAAAAGCACTTGACTAGTTTTTTTTTTTTCTGATGCTGCAAAGGTGATTTCAGTGCTTGTGGTGTGTGCTTCAATTTCTACCTACTTCAACAGAGCAGGCAGGGTCTTGTGTTTGGAGGATGTCTGATCCTGCTCTCAGTTATTCCAGAAATGCCTAAGTCAGGTATACATTACATGTCTCTTAATTTTCTTTCTCTTCATTTCCTTCCATCCTTTTTGCTTTTTTTTTTCCATATCCCCCTCTCATCTTTTATTTTCCATTTCAATGTCTGCTTTCCCACGTCCACCCTTTCCCTCCCTCCTTCAAATGTTCTTCCCCGATTCTCCCTTCTTCATCCTTCCCTCCTCTGTCCTCCCCCCCTCTTCGTGTACCATCAGATCGGTTTCTCTGCCCGAGCAACTTCAGTCCAAACGCCGCCAGAGCTGCTTTTCACCCTCCTGCCTCTGGAGCGGCTTCACTTTGCGCTCTGCTGATGAGGCTTCGAGCCGGAAAACCTCGTAAGTGCCAGGAGTGAGGGCGCACGCAGCACGGGCTGTGCCGCGCATGGGAGCTGCTCCCATGCCCTATAATCCGAGAACCACACATCTTGGTAAGCCTCGGTGGGAGATGGCAGCCTCCAAGATGTGTGCTTATCGCATTATGACTTCAAAGCGTAGTGTGCTTCCGCAGAGCGGGGTTTTCTAGAAGAGGCTGAAATGCTTTTACCTTGACCAGGACCTTTGGGCAGGAGCTGTGGGACAGGACCAGCACCTTTGATGTGTTTGTTCTGTAGATGGGGACGGTGTGTATTAGGAACAGGGAAAGGTAAAAGTGGATGGGAAGTTTTAAGACTTGGTTTTTGATTAGTTTTTGATTAATTAATAAACATTGGTCAACAGAAATGGAATCTTCTCCTGAGAACCAGGTAGGGTCTCCACAGGAGGGTGTGCAGGACTGCATTTGTCGAAGTTACTGCCCTGTGCTGGGCAGGGAGTGTGCCTGAGGCGTGGAGGGAGACCCAGGCCCCAGGTTCTGCTCTGTGGAAGCTCCTGTCCTGTCCTTGCTGGGCAGCCCATGTACAGGGAGACGGGAGGAAGGGGACCTCCTTCTGGGGTGAAAAGGGACGGGTCCGATCATCACAACAGGGTAATGTGAAATTCAGGAACTAGACTCGTCCCTGCCATGCCAGTATGAAAAATGGGAACGTGCTCGGCCTGGATTCCCTTTTATTAAACAACACAATCTGGGGAGATGTCTCCCAAACTAAGTTAACTGCAGGTCAGGTGCTGTGCAATCTCATCTGCAATCTCATCTGTAGTCTGGTGGCATCGAGGTGGCACAGGGGCTGTCCCCCCGAGGCACCTGCTTTCTCCCTGTCCTCTTTCCCCACCCTGTGCATCTTGCCAGCTCCTGCCAGCTCTCACACGTGGTTTCCTCGATTTTGGTGCCTGCCTGGCAGCGCCACACCGCTGGCTCGCCAGCCCGTCCTCAGGGGTCAGTGCCACCCCCAGGACCCTGCAGCTGGTGTGCCCTGAACCCATTACATTGCAGGAGCCGGGCTAGGAGATAAGCACAGAGTAACCCTGGCAGGGCGATGCCCTCGTACGCCTGCAGACACCACATCCCCATCGCAGCGAGCGGCTCCTCGCACACGGCCAGGACTGGGTGCCCTGCCACGAAGCCTTCCCGGCTTTCTGTGCTCCCCTCTGCGTGGCTGAGGCTCTCCGTTTGCACGCTGTAACTTTACTCGACTTCCTGGAGCTCTTTTTAGCAGTGCTAGACCTTGCCAATTCCCCGCTCGGAGCTGTTTCCTTGGCAACTGAGATTTTTTTTTTAAAAAAGAGGCACAGGGATTTGGGAGGCAAGCACCAAAATGAGGGTAGAAGGATAAAAACGGGGATGAATCTTTGGGGATTTCATTGCTGCTCTTTTTTTATTTTTTATTCTGAACAGAGCATTGCGTACACGTGAGAGCTAGACCCTCCTCCCAGATAAATATTCAGAATGACTTCGCAGCGTCCCAGGCCATTAGAAATTCCCTTTCTTCTGAGCCTAATACTTCAGTTTTTTATGTGGATTGAACTCGGAAACTTATTTTTGTTTCCAGAATCTGCAGAGTTCGTAGTGAGACAGCAGTCCAGACAGACGTATCGTAACCCATAAATGGGTTTAAAAGCATTCAGGAACTGGGCTGTGCTCTGGCACGGCTTCTCGTGCCGCAGCGATTCAGCGCGGGCTCTGCCATGTACACTTCCACTCCACGGGGAGCAGCTGACGGTCACCGTGCACTCTGTCAGGCACTTGCTGATTTAGCTGAGCGTGTTTTCAGAGCACTCAGCTGCCCCTCCTGGGATTTTCTGCTTTCTTGACCGAGGGACCTGAAGGTCTCGGTGCCTGCTCCCGTGCCCAAAGCCCGGTGGGACGCGCACGGTGTGGCCGTGCCGAGGGCTCCCCAGGGTGTGCTTACAGCCTGGCGAGAGGGGAAGAAGAGCTGGGGAAGGCCAAACCAGACTGCTACAATTTTTCTTAAGCAGCAAATGTCTCTTCAGCATTATGGATTACTAATTTTCCCAGATTTTTTTGAGAAGAAGACAAAAACTAGAGGCCCAAAGTGATTTATTATTCTCTCCACACGTGCAGCTCAAAACCAGCTTCGTTGCCCTTGTTTGAAATGCCAGAAAAGAAACATTTGGGGCGCCAGGGCCACCCGCTCTGTCACACCCAGACGAATATTTTTGCCCTTGCATGGGCAGAGGACCCAATTGCAGCTCCCTTGTTCCCGTCCTTGTTCCTTCCTCTGCGGAGGCTGCAAGTTCCAGGTCCCCGTGGAGAAATGCAAAGTTGGTAGGAAATTTCCCCCCCTTCAAAGTCCCTCTCTGCCATTAGAGCAATGTTTGTAATGCAAACACCACCCCCTCCAAAGCACCAAAATCCCAGTGGGAAGCAGGAGCCCTGGCACACGCAGAGCTGGGAGAGCTGCCGGGAGCCACCTGGGGCCGTCCTCTGCTCCCACCAGGAGGGAGCCAGCGGGACACACGAGGGTGTAATGCTCTGCAGCAGAAAACAGGATAAAAATGGTGAGAGACAGCAGCTATAACTTGGGTTTGCTTTAATGCTGTGTGTTGGAAGCCTGCACAATTGGATCGGGCACGTGTCCTCGTGCTGAGCATGGAAGTCCTCCCTCAAAGCTGGTGGAGATGGCAGGAGTTTGAGTTATGTGCAGGTTTACCATGTTGGGAAGGGCTTTTCCTTAACTTTGAGTTCCCCAGCTCATTGCGTGGGTGTTTTAATTAGCTATACGTGGGTCTTTGGTATCTAAGGACTCTCTCACATGGTGCACTTTCATGGAAACGATGACCAAATTATTCCCGAACAGACAGGCACTTCCCTGAGACCTAGGCAGGAAAAGAGCCCTAAATTGTACGTTTGAGCACAGGGCTGGGTGGTGCTGGTTTCGCCACGTGGTCGCAGTGTCAGGGCTTGGAAAGGCTGGATGGATCTCACACATTTCCCCAGCTGCCAGCCCAGGACACAGCAGTGGGGTAGCTCGCTCAGCTCGGTGCCGCAGGGAAGCACCGCGAGCTGCAGGAGCCTGCACACGGTCAGGTTTTCTGTTTCTTCTTTTTTTTTTTTTCAGGAGTAAGGTTTTATGGTTCTGCTTTGAAGGAGGGGCGAAGGAAATAAAAGAGGAGCCATCTGAATTTCATTACTAGTATAAATACACGCTCGGTGACACAATCTCTGACCTGCAGCAGACAGGAAATCAAAACCAACAGTTCACCCAGATGCTCGCATCAGCCTAGTGGTTAGTAACAAGAAATGACATGAAAGCAACAGAAGATTGTCCACCCTGGTTTGGCTCATGTCGGGCACAGGGGCTGTTGCAGTTACCACTCCTGCAGAGAAGGCAGCTGGAGCCTTACTTGCAGCGTGCAGAGTCGCTGGAAAAGAGTTTCTGTCCCAAAAACCCTCATCGATTCTTGGCATTCGCGTCTGCGCGAAGAAATTTGCATCTGTTGAAGGGAACCTCTCTGAATCTAGGGCAGAATCCCATCTGTGCTGGGAATATTTTCTCTGCACTGCAGCTCCCGAGTGCCTATCCTGTGCTGGTTTCTCAGCCTCGTCGCAGACCGCCGTGGGCAGAACCGAGCGGCGCGGGGTGCGCGCTCCGCACGTCGCCGACGGGGGCTGTGCGAGGTCTCCGTCCCTCACTAGTTTAAGGAGCCTCGCCCCCGGTTGTTAGAGCTGACAAAACTCTCCAGATACGTAAACACGTTCTGAAATCGGAGGAGTCGATGCACCAGACACCGAGGAAGCTTTTTTCTTCTCTCAGCGGCGTGATAGAGATCTAAGTGCTCTGCTTATTAAAATTTAAATGGAAATAATGTATGCAGTCTTCAGGAGTTTAGGGCTGAGATAAGTCATTATAGGAATGATCTGTGTGTGACTAGAAGTGGCTTTTAAATCTTTTTATTGCAGTGTTTTTCATACTTAGTGAAATGCGTATGGAGGTGCGCCGGCACGGCGTCTTTCCACGCTCTCCCGCGAGCGTTTTCACACCTCCTGGTTCAGACTGGGTATGGGCTCCAAAGTAAACGTGGTCTTGCTTTGGTCACAGGAAGGGATGCAGCCCTTTTCCTGCTGTCCAGGGCAAATGCATGGCCTAGGTAAGCACAGAAAAAGCTCTGTATTTATGTCTGCCATTTCCCAGGCAGGTCAGGAGATTGCCACCTGAAGCTGCTGGGCTCTGCCCATCCCAGGCTCCTCGGAGGAAAGCTGTGATTGCATCTGCATTACTTCTGCACATACTTTCGGTGTGTGGGTTGAAGGGAATGCCCCGTCACTTTGGAGGGAAAAGAGCTGCCCTAGGTTTTTCCCCGTCGCTTCTGGGAAAGCGTTTTGTTGCCGGGGATGACCGGAGGGAAGGGCCGGGAGGTGTGCGAGCACGGGAGCTGTCGGTGGGACTGCTGGCACGGCCGCAGAGCCCTGCAGCACACCGCTGGGGCTCCTTGCCCATCCGTGGTGCCACCACGAGCAGCAGACGAGGTGCCCAGGCACCCGGGGCGAGGTGCAGAGCCCGATAATCATCCTGCTGGCAGCTTGGAGAGAGCGGGGCGGCCCCACAGTGCCTTCCCTGACAGAGGAGGGAATGAGCAACAGGTTAAAACTGGAGCCGGGGGAGTTTTGCTTACCAAATGTGAAGCTGCCCACGTCTTGCCTGTGCTCGTCCTGTGTTCTCAGCTCTCTGCCTCCCCTGCGCTCCCTGCCGGGGTCCGCTCCCCAAAACTCGCTCCGAGTGCGCCCAGCGCTCCCCGTGGCTCTCAGAACTGGGGCAGCTTTCCTGCAGGCCTGAGAGCCTTCTGGAGTGCCCGTCAGCTGATTTATGCATTCATATATATGGAGAAAAAAAAAAAAAAAAGCCGTTTGACTGAATTCTGCTTTGAATTTTGGGGTTTCTTTCATCTCGGCGCTCCTGGGAAATGAAAGCAGAGCGCAGGCACTGCTGCAGCCCGGGCACTGCGGCTGTGCGCCGCGCCGAGCTCCTCTCCCGTAGTCTGTTCCCACTTGTTCATGCATTTATGAGTATTTTTTACTGTTATTATTAATAATAATGAGGCTAATCATTGATTTTGAAAGCTACACCTTTTATTTAAACAAAACGAATAGCATGAATCAGACAGTAAGCGCATGGTAGAGTTGGCAGTGAGGAGGGCAGTCTCCCAGATGCACTCAAAATGTGGAGAGGAAAGAAGGTGAGAGGAAAGCAGTGGGGTGATCACTTCGAAGCCATATCTGGTGCTCCCTGGTGATAATCGGGAGCAGTGCTTCATGCAGGGTGTAGCAGACACCCCGGGATGTCCGTCCTGTAATCTGGATTACCTCCAGCAGATTTAATTACCTGGTTCTCGATGGGTTTTGCCTTTCGGAGCAGTGGTGCCGATGAGCTCTGGTTCTCGGAGCTTTCATCCCATCTGCTGCAGGCTGTGTGATGGCACGCAGGTCCCGTGGGACAGGAGATACCCAGGGCTCCTTCCCATCCCTCCCTGCCTGCGTTGATGCCGTTCTCTCTTGGCCCTTCCAGGCTGAAAAGCCCGACCTGTCCCTGGAAGCTGTCCCCGTCGTAGCTCACTGCTCGCCCTGCTTCTGAGGGTGTGCAGCTGTGCTGAGTAGCCCTGGGTACCAACACCGGTTCATCTAAACTCAGGTTTGGCACCTAATCACGGCTCGGCATGCCACACTCCTGAAGCTTTTCCCACTGCATCGTTTTCACATACCAAACACAAGAAGAGCTCCCGTGAGCGTTGTCCAGGCTGCAGCGGTGGCACTGGCAAGGGTGAGGGCAGCAGCACGTGTCTGAGGTAGCCTTGCTTTTGCTGATGGCTGTGTTTAATCCCACAGCCAAGTTTCACCTACAGATTTCATTTCCCTCCCCCAGCGGGGCTGCTCTTAGCACAACAGATGTCAGAATTCACAAACCTCTTAATCGTGGGTACGTCATGGTGTTTGCCTTTCTGCCTTTCTTTCCAGCAGATTTATGCTTTCTCCTCGGCTTTCAGGCCTGAATGTGATAGTTTGAATTGCAGAATGCTCACTGTGACCTCCTGGGGGCTTTGCCAGCCCCGCAGCCTGCCAGCCGATGCCCTTCCTGCTCTGTGACCACGGTGGCCAGGATATTTCAGAGCCACCTTGCCCCTCCAGGCCCCTGGGCTGGGGCTGGGGCCACGTGGGACAAGCCTTGGGCTGGGTCACTTTGCTCCTGCTCCACTGCAACACCCATTATAGATATATATATAAAATATATATATAATATATATCAATATAATTCTGTATTATTATTAGTGCATTGCTGTCAGGAGGCTTTCTGGACCGTAGCCATGATCTCGTTGTTTATTCAGCGCTGTGTATGACTGCAAGAACATGGGTGTATTCACGTGTCAGCCCTCTCCCTGTCTCCAGTTTCCCGTGCTCAGCTCCCAAAGCGTGTTTCGCCTTAAAGAAAATCCGCAGGGTCTCAGGAAGAGCTGAAATGTGGCTTTCATTTCCCGTGCCATGGAAATGACAGATTGCAAGGTTTCCCTCTGTCTTTATTCCATGCACTTATTTAATAGAATTGCAGGTTGATTTACCAGTGAGGGGTTACAATTAAGATAATTAATGCCTCTGTGCTGCGGGAAGTTCCTGAAGGCTGCATTTTCCTGGGATCGTTTGGAGGGCTTTCAGAAAGCTCAGCTGCAGAGCAGAAGAGAGGCACCATTCTTAAACGAAATGCAACCAAAATTAATCCGTTTGCTGATGCCTACAAGTGCTCACTTCCATTAAAAGTCCGTGTCTGCACCGGCAGAGCATAGACAGAAAAAATCCGGGATATTTCTGCTGTGGTAGAGCTGCGGGTGAGAGCCTGCAGGGTCCTGCTCCCTCTGCTCCTGCTGGTACCTGGCGCTGCTCAGTTCCTTCAGGGCCTGTTAGCCTCGTGTCCTGGGCCTCCCATGCTGCTAAATATCCATCCCCTGGCCTCTTTTCTGCTTTATTTGCATGCGTGTTGTCAGGTGGCCGTGTGCTCTGCAGCACGGAGAAATGTCTGTGTTTTCACCCAGCGGAGGGATGTTCCCGTTCCTTTCTTCTCACCACCTACAGTGGTCCCGTGACTGATGAAAGCTGTTTTTGTTTGCAGGTACAATACCTTGCCAAGCCGAAGAACGCTAAAAAATTCCAGATTAGTGAGTAAAAAAGACGATGTTCACGTCTGCATCATGTGCTTGCGTGCCATAATGAACTACCAGGTATTTCCCTTTGCATTCTTCTGCACCGCGTCACTTTTTGTTGGTGGGAGGGAAAGGTTAGTGGTGAAAGATGAAGGTAAAACTGCTGGGAAGGTTTAAATCCTTACTCATCTTAGACAGCGCAGCGGGGAAGCCGTGCACAACACAGCCCTTGTCACAGCTGGCACACTAACTAGGTGTGTGAGCTGTGCTGGTGGGGATGGCAGCTCCTGGGAGCTCCAGGATTTCTTTCCTCTAACAGGAAGGATGCAAGCGATGGTGCAGGTGTGGTACCAACTGATACCACACTCATAAAGCAATTCTTTTTTTGGGTTTGGAGAGCAGACCCCGCAGCACTCGCGCAGTAGCTCAGGTGGCAGCATGCCTGGGGAAGTGATCCTGGCAGCTGAAGTGCAAATTCCCCTTTGGAGAGTGAATGGCACACTGGGCTGTCAGAAATAAAAAGTGTTCGGAGGGGAGGAGCAGGCAGAGGGGGTGTCAGTGCTGCAGGAGCAGCTCCCGGACCCCTTTTTGTTGGCCAAACCGAGTACCTCCGACGTGTGGTGACAGAGCCGTTGTTAGTCACGGTGTGAGATGGAAATGTGCTGACTGCCTTGATAAAACTCAGCCCTGTTTTATTTGGCTTACAGCGTGGCGAGAGACTGCCAGATCTGGTCAGAGATACGTAATTTGTTGGGTTTTAAAAATAATGACTTCGGTTTCGAAGCTGAGACGGTTTTTTCCCCTTCTCTTTTCAGTACGGGTTCAATATGGTGATGTCGCACCCGCATGCTGTCAATGAAATTGCACTGAGCTTGAACAACAAGAATCCCAGGTAGGTGTGCGTGCTAGTGGGGAATTTACCAAGTAGGTAAGTTAAGAGGACGTGGAAAGGGGTTTTCATGGATACGTTTATGCACAAATTGGTAGCAAAAATCAGACCTCACTCTGAATCACATTCAGTCTGTGTTATGGTGGGAATAGAGGAGCAATTGCCATCAGCAGTAATGCCATCGGTTTCAGAAGCTGCTGACTCTTCAGCTGTATCTTTGCTGCTTGAGCTCTCCAACCCTGCTACAGTGCAAAGTAGACCCTACTGATTGTGAGCAGCTTCACATGGGATTTTCCTGAAGAAGCTAAATTTTCTTCAATAAACTTCAAGGAGGCCTCAGGTTTGAGTGTCCTTGAGAGAGGGCTTTGTTCTTGTCCTGCATCTGTACAGCACCTGACTCAGCATCAGGTGTTTCTTCAGCCTCAGCCCCAATTTTGTGATCGCACAGTGGAGCTAATTGCTGCAGGGCCGTGTCCCCTCTCCTCCCCGCACACCCTGGTGGCCCTGGCAGCTGCTTCCAGCACGGCCTGGAGCTGCAGACCTCTTGCACCTCTAATGAAACCAGATCTGACATTCTGCTGCTTGCAAGGAGAGGTAAAGCTAGGGGATGTGACAGAACTAAGCAGCACCGTATGGAGAGAGCAGAGCTCCTTTCCGTAGGCTGTCCACTTGCCTCGCAGTGCTCTGCTTGAAGTTTGTCCTGGTGGAAGTAGGTGCTCCCTTCCTCACTTCTCTTTAGGCTTAAATCAGCAAGCCTGGGCACAGCGTAAATGGGAAGGGTATGGGAAGTTTATTGCTTTTATGGTTTTTTGTTGTCTTGAGCCTGGAAATCAGGTGATGGAGAGATAACTTAAGCTTTTGGTTCTGAAAGAGGTGAGTTGTTTAGGTTCCTGATCATTTTTAAAAAAATGCATTCAAATGTGGCTAAAACACCAGAAAGCCAATTTACCGTTATGCTGTTCAAAACCTAATTACTTTTTGTTTTAGCCCCATCATGATTTTAGAAGAAACCTGAGTTTTGGGTGCTTAGGGCTGGCTGAGATGTGCACAAAGGGAAGCAGCAGCTCCGAGTCGCGCTGCAGCGATGACCCCAACCACTCTGCAGAGCTAAGTGCCACTGAGAGCTGGCAGGCCAGGGGGAGGACGAATGTAAGGAGCAGTCAGAGGCTCCATCTCTTCTGTGTGTGCCCACAGGAGTGACACCAGCACGGTGGCACTGTCCTCTCCCTGTCCCCAGTTGCAGATGTGCCAGCAGCAGGCGGGTGAGGGCTCCAGGTGCCTGTGGAGACCTGGGCATCCTCCTGGCCACGCTGTGCACACTCATCTCCGTGCCCTTTCCCTGCACACACAGCTCGTGGTCTGCCCTTGCAGAGGATGTTACTGATGAGCCATAGTGAGAGCTCCTCGAGCCTGTCTGAAAGAGCTTGGGTTTTCTTCTTGTGGCAGGAAAAAAAAATTGATGAGTAAGGATTGAAAGTGATCCATATAAAATTTCCTGGGAAAGTGAACATTTTATCTGGTTTCCAAAGATAACCTTGACACTTTGAAAGCCAAAAGGTATTTCTTTTTCTGTAACATCTGGTTTGAGTCAGTGCTTAAGCATGAGACTAATTTCATCTGTGTCTGCATGATTTTAATATCTGCTCATAGCTCATCGGGCCATAAGGTCCGGTTGGTGCTTTTGCCTTATGTGACCCCGGTAAGAAAGCACTGGGGCTTATTTATATTGGAGCTGCAGTGAGTCTGTTGCATGCTTTTCTCTCAGTAATTGATTGTCTTCTCCCCCTCATTGCTGTGCCTGTGTTAGCACTGCTGTCGGTCAGTTGCCCAGATTTCTGATTCAGGAGGGCAGAGATGCGCTGAGGCATCCTCTGCTCACATTCAGTGTGCCACAGCTTACTTTTTGGGGAGGCCACGAGTCATACAAATTGTCACAGAGAGTAATTCAGATCTGTATTGGGAAATACAGATCTGAGTTAAAAGCACGTTCACCAAGAAGTGGACTCGGGGGGAGCGGGCAGGCAGCTGGCTCCTGGCTGTGTGCGGTGATCCTGCTGTGCCCCCAGCCGCCTCCTCGCCGACCCTGTGCAGGAGAGCTGCTGGGAGGGCCAGCTGTGGAGGGCTGACGTGCTCTGCCTTTACGGATTGATGTTCTGCCGTGGGTTTGCTTGGATTTCCACAAGTGCAGTTTGTGATTTAAATTTTTGCATGGTTTGAGAAGCATTAAAATGGGGGAGAGCTGCATGATCCCGGAGACTCGGAGTACCCCGGATCAGACGATGCTCAGCATTATGCATCCTGCAGGTTTTCTCGTTTCAAGAGACTGAATGCAAACTACTGGATGCAAACTACTTCTCCCAGCGTCTGCACATCATTTGGCAAACAGGTAGAAGGTGCTCAGCACATGCTTGTCATTGATTGCCACGGTTTGGTTTCTTCGCAGGACAAAGGCCCTCGTCTTGGAACTCCTAGCCGCTGTGTGTCTCGTCAGAGGAGGGCATGAAATCATTCTGTCTGCGTTTGATAACTTCAAGGAGGTACGTTTTTCTGCTTTATCAGGATTTGATGGGCATATCTGTAGCTCTCGGTGTGTTAGCTTGAGCTTTCTCACTCATCTAAATTCCTTAGACTGAGGATTTTCCACTAACTGTAGATTTTCCAAAAATCACTTTGAGCTGCGTAGACAGCAGCGGTCGTGCCATTGTTTTGTGCACTTTCATGTAAAAGAGCTGTGATCCCAACAAGGTGAGTCCAGTCTGAGAATTGCTTCCTTTACCTTGTGGTCAGTTGAGCTGTGCCCCAGAAATGGAGGGCTGATGGAGATTTGGAGAGCTTTACTCCAGTTCCTCTGTTTCTGAACGCTTTGGTGCGTTCTTAGATGAAATAACCAGGAATTGTGGATTCAGAGCCATTTACACAAGCCTTTGAAATGCAAAATTCCTGGTTTTACTATCAGCAAGAATTTTATTTGTGAAGGAATTCCAAAACCAAGCCTCTGTGATAAAACCCTGACTCTGCTGGAATTAATACGAGTTTTCTGCTTTGCTCAACTGGGGCAAAACTGCCATTCGTCTGCGTGTACGTTCGGGCGTAGCAGGTTTGCATACGGGGGTTAATGGGACTCGAGAACATTGTGTGAATGTTCAGAGTTACTGGTGTGGGAATCAAGCGCAAGAAAGCTGCTATTCTAGTTTATTTTGAATATTGGGTATACGTGTGGATGTATTATCAAAGAAAAAACGAATCTAGTCTTACCAGCTCAAAAATTGTTAAACTTGATGAGTCCCAGCTGGACTCTGCATAAACATGGAGCAGGTTTTAGCTCAGTGCCTAAGTGGGTTAATGCAGATGATCAGCGAGCCAAGCTGTTAGGTTTTTTACTTTTTGTGTTTTGGGAATTGTTTCTGGTGGAGAGATACCGATCTCTGATTTACATCCGCTGTAAACATCTGCATGTCGTGGAGCTCTACCATAGCTGCAGTGCTGAGGTTCCTGCTGGTGCACAGAGCCGGAGCAAAAGGTTTGGAGTCATCTCCAGTGTGCTTCTCTTGTGGAAACCTCGGGTGTGCAAGACCAGACCTGTCCGAAATGTGAGCCTTGGTGTGTGTTGCCTAAGAAGAGAGCTGCTGGGAATGGCACGGCCACTGGCGAGGCTTCACCTGGGGTGAAGTTAAAGTCAGGCTGAGATGAATTTATGTGAAGAAAGCCTGACTCGTGGGTCACACCAGCAAAAGGGGCGGTCAGTGTGGCTTTGTGAAAGGTGATGGTGGAAGAGAGTGCAAATGAGATTGTTGTGAGAACACCTCTGTAATATCTGAGAAGGGCTTTAAAGAGGAGCAGCATGCAATGTGTGAAAGTGTGGTGTTGATACTCCAGCCTGAAATTCTCCGTGGCTTGTTACTGCCCTGTTAGAGAAGCAGCCTGACTCGTTAGGGAGGACAGCGTGAGGAATTGCAGATAAATCTGTCAGAAATGCCACTGGTTGGGATGCTCGGTGGGGCGCACTGGGCAGGCCCTGGTGCATGTCACAGGGGATGTCACATCTCCCATCACGTATTTATTCCCCTGCTGTTTGTGCTCCATGAAGCCATTTGTTCTGTGGACCTGCTGGATGTTGGGGGTGAAGCGGGTGAGCGAGGAGAGGGATTTTACCTAATTTCTGCTCTGTTTATCCAGTTACCCTGCCTATTCTTGCTCTCTACTGTTGTTTTCCACGTCCCTCCTGGGCAACTTTGGGTAATGGTTTCAAGCCTTTGTGTTTATCACTCATCCAGCTGGTCTGTGAGAAACCTCGGAGTTACCGACATGGAAAGCGTCCGGGGTTCCATTTCTAGCAGGATGATTCCACTTTAAATTACCGTAAGCTCAATGATATTTGTGTGGCTTCTCTGAGTATGCATGGCAGGGCCGCCTCAGCTTCCCTGTGGTTCTTTCATCAGACGCAGCATGCATATTTAGGACAGATTAGACTTGTTGAACTAGATCTCTGCCACCCTATCTCCTTGCCATAAAATAACTTCAAAAGAAACCTGAACTCCTGTCTAATGCTCTCCCTGTAATAAAGTCAGTAGAGAAAACAGGATATTTCGGACCAAATTCTGCTCTCATTTGCATCGGGGCGAACATCAAATATTTCATTAGGCTTTGAGCTTTGCTCTGATGTAAATGAGAACAGGATTTGGCTCTCAGGGTTTGCCTGAGCTAGCAAACCACAGCTGATCTGAATCTTGTCAGGAATTCTTTTTGAAAATGGCTTTTCACTTGAAAATGATGTTCCAGGCCAGCTTTTTCTGGCTGAGGTTGGGATTTCAAATGGACGGTTTGTTTTCCCGAGGTGTCTCCTGAAAATTGTTCTCGCTCGCTTCCTTCACCTGCAACCCTTGGTTCCCCTGCAGCAGGCTCAGCACTGCGCACTGCAGCCAAGGCTCCTTGCTGCTTTTTCAGTGAATAATTAGGATAATGTTGAGCGGGTCACTTCTGCAGATGGAAACACAAGGATGTCCTCAGGCCACCAAGAGCATGCAGCAACCAAGGAGCTGGGGGAGGCACTGAACATTGCAGAACTCAGCGGGGGAAAACCCAGAACTGCTGTTACCACCAGGAAACAGGGAGCACGGGGTGGGGGCACGGAGAGGCAGGATTTTGTGCGAGGTGAGGAAGCCAGGCTTCACAGTCACACTGATTTTGGGAAAGGTGAGCCCCTGCTTCAATGCAGCGAGGGACAGAGCTGTTGGATACCTTCTTGTTGTGCCAGAAGGCGGGCAGCAGTCACAGCGCAGTCCTCGTCCCTATGGCACGGGACAAATTAGTTATTTTCGGGGAGACATCAGTGTTGGTTTCTCATCTGTCTTTGTGCTTCCCCTTTGTGTTCTCTGCAGTGCTGACAGCAGCTGAGGATAAGCAGGAGATGGGGAAGGCTGACCTCGTGGTGCTTCCTGCAGCCTGCTCTGTGCTTTGGGAACTGTTCCCTAGCGGCAGGACAGCAACCTCCACCCTCTGAGGTCCCTCCTGCCTTCGGTCCCTCCTGCCAGGCCAGTGCAGGCGCAGGGAGAATCGTTCCCAGTTTCCAGGCCAAATTTATCTCATCAGAAAGTGGCACCGGGTGTGCTCGGGGCCGCTCGTGCTCTGTGTGTCCAAAGCTTCCTTTTTCTGTAGGATGCTTGGCTGAAATCTGCTGCACTTAGGGGAAATAACGGGGAGTTCTGTGCCACACCAACCCCACGTGGATAGCCAGGGGCGTTTGCTGTCTCCTTATCTGTCTGGTAGTTTCTGGCCCTTTGCCGGTTCTGTTCGCAGCCACCGCTTATTCCCAGCCTCTCGTGCTGGAGGAAAATGCTGCTTGAAAGGGGCAATGGCAGCTTTGGCTGGACGAGCTATTCAGCACTGCCCCGACCCCTGCATTTACCCACTTGCAACCGGGCTTCCTTAGCAATATTCCCAGGTCCTTTGTGCTTGTTTCCATGGATTTGTGAGAACTGGCTACCGGGTTTTATCCGAGTTGCCTGGGATTTGCGTTACAGGATGAGCAAATGCACTTTAGCAGAATGCCAGGGGGAGAAAATGAGAGTAAAGTGAGCCTCAAGACAAGCCGGTGGGAGCCGCGGGGGTCACAGAGCAGATGCTGGGAGCCTGTGCCCCATTTACATCGACGCAGGCGGAGTGCACCACTGGAAAACAAGATATATTTTCCTAACGCCTCTTCAGAGCAGTTAATTCATTTTAATAGTGTGACTGGATGTGTGGATACACAGAGAATTAAGCTGCTGTCTTTTCCTGCCAACAGTAAACCCTTTGTTTTACCAGCATTTCGTGGCACACTGCTTCTTGAAGCAGGCGTGCTGCTCCGGGGTCACGGAGGCGGTGGTGCACTGGGATTTGGGCTCCTCGTGGTCCCGGTGAGTCTGTGCTGTGGCATCGTCCTGACAGCGGGCCATCACCAGGGGCTTGCTGCGGGCAGCTGCAGCCCTGCAGGAGGGTTCTGCTGGCCCGGGCACCGTGCTTTTGCTGGGCTCACTGCAACTCTACGTGGTGGTGCCCAGATGGCAACCACGGCTCCGGATCCTCAGGGCCAGTTCCGAGCTGGGCTGAGGGCTGCTGCTGCTCCACCGTGCAATTTTGGAAGGTTGTGCGCCCCCAGCAGAAATCCCATAACACTTTACCCATTGTATATCCATATTTATATACATACATACACATATATGTGCATATATAAGATATACACCCTAGTCTGCTGGGCTATGTAGAAGGACCTAGTGCTTGCAGAGCAGGCTGCTGGAGAAATCTGGTGAGATCGGCCAGAAATAGAACCAGCAAAAAAGTTCTTGTTAAACACAACTAAATAAAAACTCATTGAGGCTATGAATGCAAAAAGCTGTTTTCCAGCTCGTCTTGGCCTTGCTTCATTTTTATTTTTATTTTTATTTTGCAGCATTTCTAATTAGCTGTTTAATTTGCATTCTTCATAAGCTTTTTATTTACCAAAAGTGTAGTAGCCAATGAATGAACAACTGCAGGAAGTTTACTTGGTGAAAAAAGTCCGAGCCCAACAGCTCTAATGTATTGCACAGTGAAAACAGATACAAAGACTTTTTTTTTTTTCCAAATACTAATTTCTTCAGTTTTTGTGAAGATCTGAAAATGGCAGTTTTGGAATATACTTTGCAGCGTTCTGAATTGGCATTTTAAGGAGAAAAATCTTAGATTCAGCTTTTTGTTAACCTCCATTTTGAACGTCGACTTTACTTAAATAACAGCTCACTATTTCTGAGAAAAGACCAGAGGGCTCTACCACTCTTTTTTTTTTTAATAAGCATAATTGTAGTTTTAAACCAAACCAAGGAGGCAGAAGAATTGACTGCGATCTGGTGCGAGACAGAAAGCCAGCCAGAACTAATCCTGGCTCTCTGCAGGAAACACTTCCTGACTTTGGCTCTAACCCAGCAAAGCAGTTAAATTGCTTATTGTATAAGCATCTACCAAAGTAAGGGAATTCAGCAAGGTGAGTGTATGTGCGTGTGCTTCTCCATATGGGAAATAA